AGGAAGGAAGGAAGGAAGGAAGGAAGGAAGGAAGGAAGGAAGGAAGGAAGGAAGGAAGGAAGGAAGAGTGTATCAGAGAATGGCATCTTAATCATGTCTGGTTCTGCCCTACTAACTGTTAGCTTTAGATGTAACCACTGAGTAACTGCCAACTAACTATCCCTGGGGGAAAGAGGCCCTTAAAAAGGAAAACGAAAAAATGCTCGCCAACTTTGGAGATTGAGAGAACAGCAGAGAGCAGATCCTGAAGCTCTGTTATATATTTGATCATGATTCTAATACATTGTTGATGGTCTTGACTCTTATAAGTAAAATAGAAGGCATTAAAATGATGCTGCTCCATAAGGCCTCTGGGAGAGGAGAACCTTATTTCTATGAAGATTTGCTAAGGGTAAGAGTTATTTTATTTGCCTGTTTTCTGTTTGTAAGAATGTAAGCCACTTCAGATTCAAGGAACAGGCAGCAGACTGATGCCCATGCTAGATAATAAGGAATAAATTATACTCACAAATATATTTGCTTGCTTGAGCTCCACAAACTCCTTTTCCAATAGTAGGAAAGCTCTTGAATGCAACATGTTCTCAGGAGCCTCTATTCTTCTCTTGTAGTTTCATTTAGAAGACAATTTTGCATTCAGTTTGAGCCAGCAGAATGAATAGGTAATTGGGGGGAAAGTGGCAAGAAGAAAAACACTAGAGGATTTTTCCTTTTTCATGTGGACCCAAAATGGATTTGAGTCTAATAGCGAACACCTTGCCAACCGGCCTGAGGCTCACCGAAAACAAAATCCCCTAGATTTCTATTAGATAATTATACTTGGAGGAGTAGGCAAAAAAATACCTTCATTCCTTGCTTTTCATAGCTGGAGTGCTACAAGCATAACCTTTGTAGGGAGCATGGAGAAGCAGAGAATGAAGCAGGCCAGGCTTTGTGTACAGAGAAGGTAACCAAGCAACCGTTTTTTCTTTCCTCAAGGGAGACAGTTCCCTGTCTTAACTTTCTTTTCCCTTTCAACCAATCGGCATCGGTTTTGCTTTCGCCCTTGTTGTTGAACACCAATCACGTTAGCCCTTCCATTCAAACACTGAAACTGAAACCCAGGAAGTACTCAGAGATGCCAGTCGAAGCCATGGTGGACTTACTTTTCTGTCAAGGAGTGCACCTCATCTGAATAGCACTTGGGCATGAGATAATTACAGGGGGAAAATGCTCACATTGCTTTGCTGGTGAAGGATGCAAATTTGGTCCGTGGAAGAAGTTTACAGAAGAGGCTGCTGACCACCATGAGAATATTGGCTAAAGAGAAGCAAGCTGTAACCTTGAGATGGCCATACTACTTATTAAAGGAAAAAATAACCATTTCATGTTTTAATCACTATCTAAAATGCATAAATGAATTTCTCCCCCAGATTTGGAGGACTCCGTGCTTCCTGGACTCTTTTTGAAAAGATATCTAGAGTCTAGACAATAAGCTTGTATTTCCAGCTTATCCTTAGAAGCTCAGCTGAGCATTTCATTCCTCCAGCTTTTACTCTAGAATAGTTGCTACTCCCTGATTTTATGTTTGGCATCTGTAGCTTCCTGGGATTTAGAATGATAATTTTATACATATAAGTACTCTTCACTTACCCAAAGTAATTGGGACTAGGACCTCTGTCACTAAGCAACACAGTTGTAAGATGTAATGTCATGTGACCTTGCTGCTTGTGAAAATATGGCACTTCCAGTTGCTGTCATTAAGTGAATCATTAGGTGATTAAGCAAAGACCTCATATAGTTGCCATTTGTAACTTCCTGCTGGCTTCATTTACTTTGCCTTGTCAGAAGCTGGCAGGGAAAGTCACAAATGGCAATTATGTGACCACAGAATATTGCAATTTTGTAACTGTGAACCAATCAACTTGCCCGATTTACAATCACATAGTCATAGAGACTGTGACTTTGCTCCACACCAACCAATGATGTACAAAGGCTTGATTCCTACTGATATCACCATATCGTTGAAGGTGTATTTCCGCTTCATATCAATATGCTTAACATATCCTTATCTTCTTGCCTTCAGTCAATCACCTGAATTCTGATTACATGGAAACTGTGGAAAACGGCCGTAAGTCACATTCTTCAATAGCAATAGCAATAGCAA